GCACTGAGTCCGTGGCATCATTAAAGGTTTGACAAATCATCATGACCAGAACTAAAGAAAAGTGTCTCAATGATTATTCACAGCTTCAACCAAACTTGCCTAAGTAGGTACAAATGACAAATTATTACAAATGGGAAATGAAAACAAAAACTCCCAAGAAACAAGCAAAAGCTATGGGTTTTCTTTGTAAAAATAACTTAAAAGTAACCTTTTTATGGTTTATATGTGAACCCAGAACACCTTTCCAAAAGAAACTAAACAGTTGTAGGTGAATGTCAGAGTTTGTACCAGACATGTTTCATTTGCACAAATGAAAGAAGAAGAAAAGAGGACAGGGTGTCAAAGGCTTTGAATCTCAAGCAGCCATTATCACTATCATCATTTTCTCACCGTCATCATTCCCAATACAATCACCACCACAGCACTGTGCGGCCCTTATGTTCAAACATTGACTCATTTTTGGTTTACATAGTCATTTCTTTGAATGGTGCAGCTTCAGAAACACACCGTGGGAAAGGAGTGGATCAAATATATTCAACCCTTTTGCAGACTTTTTAACCAATAGCAGCAATTTCCTGATGAGGGGGCATTTTCAAACAAATCTGTTAAAGGACTGTATAGGTTTGCTGGCCTCGTAAAGGCTTTGTTTGGGATAACATGGGATGACAATGGTTAACACTTGAGGAGCGAGAAAACAATATTTTCTTAAATACTGAGACAGTTTGGGTTATTTTACATGAGAAATGTCTGAATTTCTTTGCTTCTCAGTTTTCTTTTCACTAGTTTAAAGTAGGAGGGTCTTAGTTGGAGTGCACCGATCAGAATATAATGACAGTTGGTAGCTTGTTTGGTCACTACCAAATCTAAATGATTACTTAATCCAGAGGCCAGTGTCATCATTAGCCACTCACTCTTGACAAGCCATCCTTTGAAATCTATACTCCATGCTGCACCTGTGCCTCTAAAATACAGAGTGGTCCAAGCTTCAAATACAATCTTTAAAACTCCTGCCTTAAAACTCAAAAAATATTCCCGCCCCATTTCCCCCAATATCTACATTTTAAAATGGCACTGATAAACTCTTACATTTCATCGAGTTGAGAGTAACTGAGCCTTATCGTGTGTACTTTTAGCACCGCAGCGAGCCTCTCTTCACAGAAACATCAGCCTTTTTCAATCTCAAAGGGTCGATCTGATTGGTTTAAATGGCAGCAGAGGTTAGGTCAATTCATCCTTCTATCAATTCAAAGAGCATAGTTGGGGAAGCAATGTATCTTTCTGGGGAAAATACACTAAATCATTCTGAAATCCAAGAGAATGAACCACACCCCAGCTGTAGGGCACGCTGCAGCAGCTCACACACATTAGAGCTGCCTCTCCATGAAGCTCCACCAACACCAGGTCCAATCAGCACCCCTGACTTCAAAGTGACCCCCCCCTTAAAACTCTCCACACAAGCCGTCAAGTGTGCTTACTTCAACCTAAGTCCTCAACCCCCCCATGGAAACAAGCAACAGGAAGTATGCAAGGCACTAGTAAGTCCCTCCAGTTTACACCGGAGGCTCTAGGGGAGGGTCGGGGAGCGAAAGAAAGCAAAAACTAAAGACAGACTTTTTTTTTTTCAAGTACATTAAAGTGGACACCATTGGTTTATACATTCACATTCATCTAACAAAACCAGGGGAGAAAGGGAAGAGGAGGGCTATTTAAAGTGTCTGATATATAAGTACTGTATTAAGGAAAAAATAGCTAGCATTACTTTGTTATCTAAATATCAACTATCCACTCTGTTTTCTCTGTCATCGGGCTTGGAGGTCACTTCCTGCTTTCAATTCACTCACTTTTAGAAAGGGCGCTGACAGCGTGTTGATTGGCATTTGTTTCCGAGCGTGTCCTCAGTGGAGGAATATTGAAAAGAGGCGTCACCTTTTGATGAGATTGGCTGAAGGCAGTGAATTGAAAGGGAAAGGACCCCAAGCTGTTCTCCGGATGCTTTTGATTTTCTTTTATTTGTAATATCTCACCCATAACATAATGTTGTCCAACAACATTTGCTAATAATAAACAACAATAATCACAGTGTTTCCACATCGTACACCGATGTGTGCGTATAACAGGTCCATCGACAGAACACATTTTTGTTTCTTTTTTTAAATAGAATAATAATCATTAACAACAATATTTATGACAACAATGTACGCAAATATTTCAACACAACTGTTGAAACCAACCCAATGGAGTTCTGAGGCATTAGTCTGTGTCTGTCTGTTAAAGGGCTGCTACGCCTCCAACAATGTGTGTGTATTTACATGAGTCTGTGCATGACTGTGTGTGTATGCATGTGTGTTTTCATGAATGTCTCATGCATTATATGTGTGTGTGATTGCTAGCTGGGGGCAGCGAGCAGAACAAACCCAACAAAACAAAAACAGTAAAACAACAAAATGGAATCATCATGGCTGACATTCTAAAATATAAACAGAGACAAACTGTACAGGGACTCTGATATTATTCTGATAACAAGGCCACTTTGTCACGCTGAGTTCTCTCACTTGGGCTTGTTTTAATCTCTAAAAGGTTTCTGCTGTTATTGCTTCAAATGGCAACAGAGAGGTGGGGAGAGAAATAGAGCAAGAGGAGGAGTGGTGATGGTGAAGAGGCGTTTGGTGTCGTGTCCATTCATCACTTTGTAAAAGGTGCAGATGAGGTATTATTTAACCACGCTTGCTGCTCTCCCTCTTGGTCCGCTTCCTTTCCTCCATCTGTTTGAATAGTTGGTCAGAACAAGGGAGGAACAAGACACTGAAGGTAACAGAGGAGTATGTTTGGTTTTTGCCACGCAAGCTGACCAGTCAAACCCCACCGAGGGCTGCACTGTTCCTTCTCTAAACCAGCTGGACGTCTCCAGAAGCTTGTCTGTACATTTTGTGTGCTTTGAATTGAGGAAAACTTCCAAATTCCGATTACTGAAGAAAAATACTTCCTGAATTTAAGATTCTGTTCTCTCTGCTCTACTCTCTCCGATATCAAAGTTTGCCTTTAGTAGCTTGCATTTAAGGGACGCAAACAGCTTGATTGGAGTGTTATAGCCTCGATAAACTAGTAAAGACAGCCTTAATGCGAAGGCCAGCCACGTATCCATAGCTCTTCTTTTTGTATTCCATTTGGAAAACTGCATTGTTGCATGTTCCACTCTTCTTTGAGAGCTCGAGATTGATCTCAATACTCTGAGAGCCAAACGTTTACAGCAGCATTAGCAGCTTTTAAAGGTGCCGTTGGACACGCTGCTGGAAACGCCTTGTAAAGACTTGTTCTCTCCATTTAGAGCATGTAATGGAACAAGTGTGACCGAGCCATAAGTGCACACACACAATACCTCTCACACACACACAGTTATTTAACAGCATTTCCGCACCCTGTTGAAACCTCTTTGGCCTTTTAACATCGCACTCAGTCTTTTCTTTATCCTTGAGCATTTGGCTGGCAGTCACATCCCTGACTGTAAAACACAGCAGAGCGGGAGAGTGTGTGTACACACACACACACACACACACACACACACACACACACACACACACACACACACACACACACACACACACACACACACACACACACACACACACACACACACACACACACACACACACACACACACACTGTGGAGATGCTGACACATCACATTCCTGTTGTCTTCACTCCTCTTCATTTTATTTTTCCCACTTCTCCGTGAAGAGGTCAGCTTCTGCCATTTCAAACAGTTTTCTCCCCCCCCCCAGCCTGTAACACTCAGTCCAGTCGGGCCGTGATTCAAACCAGCCCCCCCCCGGGCCCTACGTGGTCCTCAGGTTGGGCCCCCCCGGGTTGCTAACCGACTTCTTGAGGGAGTTGTTCAGATGGAAGGCCTGGAGCGGCCCCTGCCCGGGGATCTGGCCCTGCCCACTGAGTGAGGGGGGGTAGGGGCCCAGGGGCTGGGAGGTACTGACCAGCAGGGGCCCAGGCTGCCCCGGAGCCTGGGGGAGGGTCGACGGACCGGACCACTGTGCGCTGTAGGCCGAGGTGGGGGTGTAATGGATGAACTGGGGGGGTTGGGGTTGAGGGGGG